AAAAGAAGCTTTTTGTAGGTGGCTGGCTGGCAGAGTTCCATTCTGAATAACTGTAATGATGTTGGGATTTGTTGTAATATTAATAATGTCATAGGGCACCTAGAACTTTGATTTAAATAATAAAAAGAAGACCCCTAAATAAAGTTATACTTAGACACATTAAAACAAATACTGTATTGAGGATGTGTTTCCCGAATTGCTTTTAAATAACAGGATAGAACTTGATTCAATAGAGCACTTTTCATATTGAATAAATAGTACAATGTCATCATCTATATGTCTGTGGCACTTTTTCTCTCAGGATGACAAAGCACTTAAGTGTTAATTAAGCTTCAGCAATCCTGTGAAGCAGAAAATGTTAAATGACGTACATAAATTTATGTTAAGACCTCATTTACTCAAGAAAATTTGTCCCAGTTTAATGACAGTTGTGATTTTAAACTCATTCAGTTAAACCAGTGCAAAAAGTTGTGTGGATACTCTTTTGATTTAAAGCAGACTTACTTCGGGTTTAACTTAAGCTGACGAGAAATCCGTTGAAGCTAAACCAAAGTAAGCCCATTTGAACTTGAAATAAGAGGGTCCATAGAAACGTTTGCATCAATTTAATCACCATAACATCTGATTTAAGTTACACCTGGGTGATTTTTTCATCTAGACAAGGCCTAAGGCAGTGACAAAGCTGCGAATACAAGCATGCAGGCCTGGCTGACAGTCCCACACTCTAACCACTAATTTGCATCCTTTTCAAGCACAAATGTAGCTTCTGCACACACAAATGTGTGTACAGCTTTATTTAAAAAAACCAAACAAACCCAGCAGGTGCAAGGAGGGATCCACTGCTTGAAAATATGGCCCCTAATGAGTTAAAAGCTCAAAGAATATTGGGCATGACTTGCAAAAGCAATGCTAGATATTCAAAAGAGGAATCTACAATACTAGAAAACATACCAGCAAGTTATTGGCCTAGAGTTCTCAACTGCCAGAGTTATTAATTAATGAATTTAAAATCAGTTGTGATAGATCACACACACAGCGAGGTAGGGATTAAAACAATTATTAGTCATTGCCCTGGCATAGGAGTGATAGTCCTATACAGTAGTGGTTTATTTAGCTCAGTAGAAGAGATAATCATGAGGGCACACGTGAATTTTGTTTGCTCTGGACACAATCAAGATGCTTCTATGGCAAACCAGAATTTGAAACTAAACAGATGTAGGTGCCCTGTGACAAAAGAGACCATATTCATATTTAACCTATTAGGGGCATTGTTAAAGCCCACTTTATCCTAGCCGAGTTCAGTCAGTATCAGGGAGGGTTCTCTCTCACATAAATGTCAAGCAGCTAAAATAATCCTGCAAAGAATACAGAAGAAGACTATGCTATCAAACTGGTACAAGTCTGGAGTGCTTCCAGTTCCTGAAGTCAATAGAGTGACTCTGGATATACAACAGTGCAAATGAAATAAATATTTTCCCCTCTGCAGAAGACCAAATTGTTTTGCTGGTTCTGCTCCTTTTCCATGTGACACTAACCTCCCCCGGAAGAACTGGTATTAAGAAACACAATTTTTCTCTCCATTACATTGCGAAAGAATGTGTCACTGTACAGGCAGTCCCCGGGTTACATGGATCCAAGTTACATCAGATCCCTACTTACAAACGGGGTGAGGCAACCCAGCAGACCAGGGAGACGTGGGGCGGCTTTTCTCAGCAGACACCTCCGCTTGAGAATAAAGGACTGAGGGAAGTGAGGTGTGGGAGAATAAAACTGAGCTCTGGAGAAATGTTTGGCTAGAGTTTCCCCTACAATATGTACCAGTTCTGACTTACATACAAATTCAACTTAAGAACAAACCTACAGTCCCTATCTTGTACGTAACCCGGGGACTGCCTGTATATTATTGTATTTGAGACCCACTGTATAGACACAGCCCTTTATGAAATGGGCCAGGGCCTGATCCTGTGCTCATAAAGGAGTAGGTCTACTGAAATAAAAGGGACTTACACCGGTATGTGGTAACAATATCAGGCCCCTGGTCTGCATAAGCTGTGAAACAGTGAGGCAACAGTGAGATGAAGGCAGAAAACACAGCATTCATGAAGAGGTGGAACTGGAGCATCCCAGGAGTATTATTTTGCTGTGGAAAGCCCTGAGCTAGAAACAAATAATTCAGCAACTGTTCAATTATGTTCTAATGAAATACAGGCTAATCCAGGCTTGCCACCTGCTATGGGAACACTGTGCAGCAAAACAACAGTTAGCAGCTCCTTCCCGCTAGGAAGAGAGGCTGAAACTTTGCTACATTTATAACATTTATATGCCCTTGTTTCCGGTTTTATGGAACATAACCGCCTCAATCAGTTAAATGTTACATTTATAGCAGGACCCTCAAAAGTTCCACAGAGAAGTTTATTAAACCATAGATTGTGAGTGCTTAGCCCACAGAAGACCTTCTTCTTTTAAAAAACAAAGCCACTCTGCTCTGGTTAATTAATTCTGGGGCTAGGGCTGCACTGGGTCTGGCTTCACAAACATCCACAGAAGGCAGCACAAGAATCTAGTAACGTAAACCTACAGAGTTCAGAAATCATGAGCCAGGCCCCACAATCATGAAACTGGAGTAAAACTTGTGAGCTTTTTAAAAAAGAGTATTTTGATGGTTTGCATTTCTCTTTTGGCTTTTGAGCCTTTAAGGTTCATGTTATCCACGCAGCTTTCCTGCCATGAGGAATGCTAGAAACTTTTTTCTTAAATACAAGTTGAGTTTCTCCTACATTTGATTTAAGAAAAACAATAAATATTGCAAAACGTGCAATTAAATCTAGAAAGCTGGCGACACTCAGTGCCTGGCCTTCCTTTCCTCTATATGTAGGACTGATCCAATCAAAGCTCCCAAGGCATAGGTAAGTCTAGCACAAGACTTTCCAAAGTGGCTGAGGAGCAACAGAAGCTCGTGGCCCACATCCCATGGCACTGAGGCCCACGGAGCCTGCTCCATTCAGGGAAATGTACATCATGTCTTGGCTCAGCAACCACACTTTTCCCGAGCCGCAGGATTTGCCTCCTTGAGGCACAACAAATAGAGGAGTGTCAGCTGGGGAGGGCATCTCTGCCCCACCCCTCACTGAGGGCTGTCTTACAGACAGCTTGTGACCCTTAATGTTTTACTTAAATCATTTTGTTATGTAATTGCATAGACAAAGTGCATATGTGAAGTCTTTATTTTGCATTGGTAAGAATGGGCCAGACTGATGTAGTGTATAAATGGTGTTAAGAGGAGCAGCAGCAGCAGGAGTCAAATGGTCCAAAGTGGCTAAGAAAAGAAAACTGTAGTTACAGCCTAATTCTGCATCAGTAGCAGCTTTACCACTGGCTTCGATGAGTTCAGGGCCAAGCCCTGTGTGACTAACTTCCTCTTGTGTAACATAAATGTGACATGTGACAAATGTCAGCTGCAATAAAGTGGTGAGTGAGTGAGTGTGTAATTCTAATAAAGCCTATGGAGTTATACCAAGGACAGGCATTCAGAATTTATATTTTGGTTAATCTGCAGTTTATAAACACCAGTGATAGACCACCTCTCTAGGTCTGTTTAAGATACACTAAGATGTATAACACTTACAGAGAGAAGCATTGTGGGGCTATATTACCTATCAGAGGCACTGTGCTCTCGTGGATGGGGCACTGGCTTAGGAATCAGGAGACCAGCATGCTACTCATGGCTTACTCACTGGCCTCTCATGTGACCTTCTGTGAGTCACCCCACTTCTCTGAGCCTCCATTTCCCTTCCTAACCACTGTTGGTCTTGTCTACTGAAGCTGTAAACTCCTAAGGGCAGGACTAGTCTCAGAGGGTGCATCTACACTGCATCCTTAGCTCAAAATAAGCGATGCAATTTGAGCTATGCAAATTGCATATCTTATTTCAAGTTAATTTCAAAATAGCTTATTTCGTAATTTCAAAATAAACTGCTATTCCAAAATGCCCTTTAATCCTCGTGGAATGAGGTTTACAGGAATGTTGGAAAAGAGAGCACATTATATTTCAAAATAATGGGCTTGCTTAAAAGATGCGGAATAGCTATTTCAGGATACCGGAAGTATCCCAAAATAGCGCAACAATATAGCCATACCCTTAGTGTGTACAATGAGGCCCAAGTTCAATACAAATACAATACTGCAATGCAAAATTAATAAGAGTGCAGTGAAAAAAGATACAGTTAACTTTCATTTGTGGAAAGACACTGGACAATTTCTGACCAGACTTTAATCATAATTCTGCATTAGGATCAGCGAACACAGATACCTGCCTAGACTCCTCCTGAAGTCAATGGACCATACTGACATGTGCAGAGATCTGAGCTAGTGCAGGAATATAGCCTTATATTGAAGTATATCCAGAAATTACACATGTAAAGTTGAGCGTGCCTTATAAGTGCACCATGAGCAAATTATTATTCCAAGATAAGAAAAAACAAACAGCTGCCGCTTATTTAAAAATAAAAATAGGAAAAAAGAATGCAAAGTTAGGATCCAGCTTATGCTGAAGTTAAAGGTAAAACTTCCATTGCTGTAATTGGAGACAGGAACTTCCCCTCACTATACATACATTCCGTAAATGGTTTGAATTTCTACAGCCAAATGGGCCACTCTCTCAACTCTCAATGAAGTCCAGAGGACTCAGAGCCCAAGCTCCCACCCAAGCCTGAACGTTTATATACTGCAATTTTATAGCCCTGAAGCTTGAGCCCTTTGCCCAAGACAGCTGACCCCTCTTTTATTGCAGTGTAGACAGAGTTACAGCTGGTATAGGTTACATAAGAGTTACAGCTGTATAAGACATTGTTGTGCATCATCCTTTGGCACTCTAATTCCATTGGTACATGAGCAATTGGATATTTTAATGCAGTAAATAAAAGAGGAAAGGAAGGAACAACCCAACGTGATTATAAGAGTTCTTATACACTCTACACTAATGATTTCTCCTTGTTTAACAGCCCTGGCCAATGTAAGGGTCCAGCTGATTCCATCAAATATTGTTAACAACTCAGCACTTTAGAACCAATCTACTGCAATCAGCAAAACAAAAGACAAGCAACCAATCAAATACAATTTAAAGCATATAAACTCTTAGCCATAGGAAGTGCAGAATGTTCCCATTTTAAAATGCACTCGGTTCAAACCTATACAATTTGAAGAAGTACCTCTCCCCCCTCCAGCAGCAGTTCACTTCAGAAAGAGGCATGCAAGGTACGGCAGATTGAAAAGATTTCATCACCTACAAGACATTCTGCAAAGGATGATGCAGTCACAGTGGCAGAGGCAGAAGCAATGACAAATCCATTCCCTGCTGACCATAGTATGGCAGTGCCTGCTTTAGAACAATCCTCTATGCAACTTTCTCATGAGCAGCACTTACCTACAGGCCAGGTTACACCAAGTGTAATCAATACACCACTGTGTCAGGGAAGTGGGCCTCTCCATTTAAATATTTAATCAGAACGCCTTCCTAACCTATCAGAATGTTTGAATGCTAGACTTCATTGTCTGACATACTGTCTGGACAGTGAGAAGAAACACAGCTGAAATAGTACTGCAAAAACTGCATGCACTTGGACCACCTTGCTCCAAGCTTTATTGACTTATTCATGTGCAATTCATTTTAATAAATTAAGAGTTTGTGAACAAGAGAAGCCAAATATATACTGGTGAAAATGACCATGCACATATGTGGTCAAACTTCCTTTGATATCACTCCACTGACCTCAGTGGCATTACACAAGGGACCACTAGTTTAACAGCTGCCATGCTGAATTTAGATTTAAATATGTATGGTTTAAAATCCCCATGTGATCTCTCTTTTGGTTCTTCTTTCATCATCCCTTCCATATGCCAGTGAGGCAGATCCCCCAGAAAGGATTCCTCTAGAAATTAATAGATCATTTGTGGGAGGAGGTTCTGCACAATATTTACTCTGAGTGGGTCTACACTGCACCTAGGAGTGAGCCTTACAGCCTGGGCAGGCAGACTTGTGCACTAAAAATAGCAGCATGGCCATGACTTCCCACCTGAGTCCCTGGGTCTGAGCTTGAGTGGCTACACTGGGGAAACACATGGAGGGGGGAAAACGCGTGGAGACACTTGTCTCCCCAGAGCCCTGCCAGAGGGGTTGCCACCAGCCCACTAGGAGGATCTGAATACTGGCACTGGCTGTAAGGCAAATTGAGTTTGAAACCCCTGGAATATGGATTTATAGTGCCATACAGCAATTGCACTGAGTCACAAAAGCAAGATGGCTCCTCTATAAAGTGAGGAAGCCCAAGAGAAAGAAGTAAGGACCCCTGAAAGCAGAGGGCAGGGAGACTCTGTGTTGGGAAAGAGCAAGTCTGCAACAATCAGTCTCCTTCCCTTTCGGTTTATGGTGAGCCAGTGTGTGTGCTTTGCTGGATCCTGCTCTTGTCTGAGTACCAGTGTTGCCTTCCTGAGTAATGGAAAGAAAGGCAGTTTTGAGGTGTGGCCGAGATATATTTCTACACCATTCAATCATTTAAATCTTGGAGGAATTATTGTTATCTGGCGGGAAAGAAAGGCAGTTTTGAGGTGTGGCTGAGATATATTTCTACACCATTCAGTCATTTAAGTCTTGGAGGAATTATTGTTATCTGGCGGCAGATCCCTGTAATTAGTGCTAGTTGACACAGTGCATATAAACATGAAAACTCTATGCAACAGTTTTCATTCCCCAATGGTTTTTTTATTCTAGAGCTCCCCACAGACACCACCTTCTAGCACCAACATGATCCTAATGACAAGCTGCTCCTTCCCATTTTTTGTGTGCTCTTTGTATTATCTACCTGCTCCCGGCTTACCAATTATTGAGGGAACCTGAGGATTCTCCTTGAGTTCGTCCCTATAGTGCAAAAACTTCATCATTTTGGAAACCAAGCCCTTCTCTGAACCCAGCTGATTTATACTTGAGAAACAGCTGATGAGACCATTGCAGAGCCAACAGCATGAAAACACTATGTGGTGAAAAGCACTCCCAATGCTGTCGTCAGTGCAGGGGCAGACAAGTCAGCTAAGACAAGCGACAAAATGCTACGCCATTCTTGCGTCAAACATACCTTACAGCAAACCACACGAAGCAAGTGCAAGCCACAAACACTGTTTCCTACTCCTTGGCTTTGCCTACACTGCAAGTTTTTGCGGCACGGTTTTTTTGCACAAAACGGAAGCGGCTACACTGCTTCTTTTTGTGCAAAAATCCCTTACACAAAAAGAATTGGCAGAAAATATGCTAATGACATCGCAACTCATGCTAATGAGTCCCTTATTGGCATATTTTCTGCCACAAAAACTTGCAGTGTAGACAAAGCCCCAGTGAGTCTCTGGTGAAGGAAGAGTTAAGTTCATCTCCTGAGTCAACTTAACACATCTGAGATGCTCATAACTCTGGTGTTGTCAGTCTGTCACCCTGCCTGAACCGCAAAACATGTCCGCTTGTCCTACTTATCAAATGACCTGAAATTGAGCATAGTCATCTGCACTAACAGCTGGCTCACTGACGAGTAGAGGAGCTCCTATCTGCTTGCTGAACCACATCTGTGCAGGCAGTTCAGGCATGGGGCACAGAGAACATTTCAATGCAGAGCTGTGTTGTCAAATTTAGACAAGAATGGCCTAAAAATGTCTTTTTTTTCCCTCCAAATTTTGCATCCATTCCTCATTGCCCTGCATATTTATTTTTCTTCATGTATAACTTTTTAAACTAGATTTTGGAGAGCTGACATTTCAAAGGAGGAAAAAGTAATAAACGACCGCTTTATGCAAATGAAAATGAAGCTCGGGATGGTGCCTGTCATTTTTATTTCTCTTTATCCACAGTGTTGCATAAATAATAAAATTCCTTTCTTTCTCAGGAAGCATCCAAATTATTAACACAAGAAAAACTGTTAAAATCATCTCACTATCCCAACACCCACAAAGTTAGAGATATAAATTACAGTGACGGATGTTATGCTTTTTTTTAAGCCAACATCTGATCTTCAAACATAGCAAGTGCTTCTGAGACTGCTTTGATGTACACTGAATTGTATCTTTTTATTGAGTTGATGTATAGTGATCCCCTTCACATTCAGGTATCTTTTTGCTAATGGATATTTATTTAGTCCTTATGCAGTGAAAAGTAAGATAAATATGTACTATAGCAGAAAGAGTTCTGGCTGGGACACTAACTTTAAATGACTTTTCCAGTTTCTTTCCGTAGGTAGAAAATTTTACATTTCCACTCCCATCATGGGCATCCACTGCTGGTGAAAATCAACACTGCTTCTTTGACCCACAGCATTGGGATTGCCAGGTGTCTGGTTTTGAACCAAACAGTCCAGTATTTGAGCTTTGTGTTCGGGAAACAAATTGAGAAAATATAAATGTCCAGTATTTTCTAAATAAGATAGAATGTAGATTGTGATGTAATGTCAAGCGTGTCCGGTATTTTTGTTGAAACCATCTGGCAACCCTACCCAGCAGAGCTTATTTGCAGCAGCTGAGGGACTGACTCCATGACTTTTTTTTAAAAATTTGCGTTGTTTTCTCTGCCCCCCCACCCCCACCCAGAAATGGCAAAGTGCTCAGCTTACAGATCCCTCAATATGTGCAGTTCAAATACACTGTATCAGGCACAGGCTCTGTTCACAAAGTGTTCAGTCCTACAAACAATGAACTCATGTGCTTGCCTATAATGGGACTTTGCACATACTTAGAGTTAATCAAATGTGTAAATGTTTGAAGACGCACTGTAGGTAAAGAGAAATAAGGCACTTCAATGTGGATTGGATGTATTTTCTTGAGATTTTTTTTTAACAGAACTTCCTGCTCTAGCTGCATACACATTTTACAATTCCATATGTGTTGTTGCATTATTTGGGGTTGGTTTTTTTTTTTACACTTTAAACACTAACAAATTATAATATGCAGAGCGTGGATATTTGAGAGAGAGAGGGAGGAATAGTTTTTTAGTTTTCCTCCACTCACAAGAAATAATTTAGTAACAAAGTTTGTTATACAATAAATAGCACAAAGTGACATACTTCTTCTTTTTTTTTTTTTTTTGCAAAAAGAGTGTTTAATGTATCTATCTACAGCTATATGCATATACTTAGCAAAACAAGCCAAATTCATTATTTTAATTCTCCTCCTATTCTTATAGTTTCGTGAAAGATGGTAGGCTGACAGCGCTGGAGACCAAAGTACTCTTTGCCCACAGAAACAGTATGATTTGGGCAGTTGCACAATATGCTTACACCTAGTGACCAACCCATGTGCCTTAATCTTTCCCTCTGAATGTGAGAAGCTAGGTCTATATGCAAACCGTCAGCCCTAGGTCGCTCTGCAGAGTTAACCACGAAGTGGCTTTGGGATGTATACATGGGCCCAGTAACAATGACTTTTGCTCACTACTGATCATGGCTGAAATCTGAACCAGAAAAGAAGAGCTCCATATTTCACTTCTAATACCCTGAACAATCTGCATTACATGCTATATGTGACCAGCTCTATACTAACAGTATAGCTTAGAGTATGTTACAACCATAAATGTATATCCTTTGCCTAAAAGGGTTTCTTTTAGTAGTGCATTCAACTCCCTGGAATGCTCGACAAGACAAGACATTTTTCTCCACTCAAGCTCATCTCCAGAAGAGGGTTTTGCCCACGAAAGCTCATGAAACTATATTTATATGTTAGTCTCTAAGGTGCCACAGGACTACTTGTTAAAGTTACAGACTAACATGGCTACCCCTCTGAGGCTTTTTTACACTTCAGTGGTAAGGTGTTCTATCCCCCTGCTGACAGCTTTCAAGAAAGAATGGCTTCTATAAGTGCAAAATAAAATATGTAAAATTATACCTCTGCCTTCTTTTCCCCCGTTGATTAGTCCTAGAGTGGCTCCGTAAAGCTGTTTGGCATATCTATTATAAAAAAGTGGAGGTGACCAAAGAAGTCAGCTGAGATAGAAGCTACAGTAAAGCCTCTTGGTGTGGCTTTAAATCAGAGGACCCTTCAGGGAGCAGTCCATTTGCGTTGGGAAAGGCTGAATAATCGTCCATACCAGATTTAGATCAAACTGTCGATTTCATGTTATTCTTATTACTCAAGAGGTCAACCAATCAATCAATAAATAGTATTTTACAATCACAGCTAGTCTCAAAGGGCTGCGTTCTGGCCTCATTTACAGAGAAGCAAATCAAGAATAGTTCTACTAAGTCAATGCGGTTACTCCACTGTAAAAAACAATCCAAGAAGAACCAGAATCAAACTATGCAAAAACTGATGTAGAAGAGTGAAGAAAAATCATTCCAATCAGTACCACAGAATAACATTCTGTGGCTGCATTTAGCCTTAGTTAATTTCTTCCAAATAATGTGAAATAAATGTTCTATTTTTAAAAAAAAAAATACTAAATATCTGCTTTAACCAAGCAGCTACATAATATATTCCATTTATAAGTATTTTCTTATCTCATAAATAAAAATAATTAAAAATAAAAACAACAAAATCCATTGAAGGCTGTCTTGCTCGTCAGTTTTTGCAATGAAAAGTTCTGCCTGAAACACTGATGTCACGGTATGGCATTGACTGCCTTGCAATCATCTTAATTAACATTAAGATTCTACTTACCGTGCATACTCAGGCTGATTGTGGCCCATCTCACTCCGTTGAGATGACCCTGCCGAGCCCGACAGACTGGCATTTTAGAGAAATAAAATTATGTCCCAAGTTGCAATACAAAGAGAGACAGCTTAAACAATCCTTTGGACTGATTTCCACATTATACGTAGAGGATAATGTATCCAAATGATACATCAGGAAGAGTTTCGTAGTTAAACACTGACTG